CATGTTGGCAGGTGGGTCTCCTACTCCACTGAATTCAACCTTATAATGGTACAGGCAGCAAATACTGAAACACCTTTTAGGCGGTAAAACCAGCAGCTGAAATAAGACTACTACACTGTACATGTACATCTTCCTTCCATCCTCTCAATCTAACCTCTCTCTCTCTCTCTCTCTCTTCTCTCTCTCCTTACCATGCTTGAAACTCTTGTCTGCTCCATTCAAATTTGTGATCAAAATGTCTGAAGCCAACAAGCTCAGGGAAGAGTACATTAAAGTCTGAATTTGGTGTTGATATGATAACAACTTGAGGTCTTAGCTTTTGAAATATTGCAGCTGGAACCCTCTCAAGAACTGAGGGATACAAATGCTCAATACTATAGGAAGACATTAATAATAATAATAATAATAGTAAAATCGCTATAGTATAATGGATCAATACATAAATGTATCAGTACATTACAGTGTACATGTACATGCCTACAGGATTATTAATTAACTGACACTTCAATGCATGAGAATAGATCACAGTCAATCATTCTAGAGTCTACTTCGTCAATAGAGCCTATTAATAATAATAATAATAATAATAATAATAATAATAATAATAATAATAATAATAATAATAATAATAACAACCACAACTAGACAAATGTAAATCATTAAGGGGCTCTGTCACAAATGTACATGTACATGTAAACAGATATACGTGTACATGTGTATAATAATAATGATAATCTCTGCTGCCAGAGTCACTTGCCAGTTTCCTCATTGGACTATGTTATTTTTGGCTGATGTCTATCTTTGTTGCTGCTTCTGTTTCATTGTTTTTTGTTCTTATTTTATAATAATAACAATAATTAGCATAATAAGAATAACAAAGGCATGATACGTAATTATAGCCTTTTCCCACTAATCAACACAAATGCATGGAATACGGATAAAATGGCTGAAGGTTACATTTCTGTAAAGGGTTGAATGAGTAAATCTTTATCTATCTCTCTCTTTCTCACACCCATTACTTTACCTTTAAATAATTGTATTTTCAATGGTCTACTGCGTCTATGTAGATAATCAGTGATGAGTGGTTGGAGCGAGTTTTGATTTGATTGAAGTAAAAACTCATTTATATCAATACCGATAAGTGATTCAATGTGTCTGTGAAACTTTAATGATTTGAGAAGCTTGCATTCAGCACAACCCATGTCTATTACCTGTCAGCATTGAAAAGGTAAAGTTTATTTTTCATTGAATTCTGCTTTAGCTACAGTATTTACTTTCTTTGGTTCTATTTTTCTAGACAGTTCCAGTACGGCTCCATAACGTTGCTGGTATACAGGTGGCCTGAATAAGACAGCAGCAGCAATAGAGGTGTCCTCCAGATCATCCATCATTCATGGTAGGTCCAGGACATGTCCAGGATATATCCGTATTCTAGATACACGTGAAAGCACGTGTGAAACAGGCGAGTGGCATCTGACATTGATTATTTAATTTAATTTTTTTTTTAA